GAGGAGAAAGCTTATATACTGTATAGACCGGACTTATGCTCCTATTAATCTGAGCACAGATCTCCACGCAATTACATGAGATTTGGTCATATGGTCCCAGTAACTGGCCATCCACCTCTTATTCTTGCAGCACTCTCCGCATCTTCGTCCGGGATGTTCACTCGTAAGTTTTTCTAGGCCTTCGATTTAAGCACAAACCTCCTTCACATGTTTTCAATATTAGGCGAAGACCTGGCAGAAAACGAAGACCTAAGCCACGTGTTGCTGCCCGAACAGAAACCACATTGTTGTCTTTAATCTTCTGCTCCACCATTGCACTACCTTTTTACAAGCACTTGCTGTAGACATTGCTGTTTAGGTTGAGCAGACTGATGCCCAACTAGGTGTTGCTGTTGTTTCTATGTTACTGTTTAATCTTGGGAATAGTCGGATTTATGAACCGTGATATGTAAAAAATGCTGTTTGCTGAAAACTTTTCAGCAAGAGTGATTGATGGACTATTTATTATTCAATTTTTGGCTTTTCTTTAATAATTCATTCTGAAAGGTCCAACCCAGCTCGGATAAATCGATGAAATAGGGCAGAAGACGGGTGCAATGAGGTTCAGCCCCGGAACAGTTCGAATCTCAGTCAAGCAGTTTGAAAACTAAAGGTCACAGGGGAAGAAGGTAAGAAAAACGAAACTAATACAGCAGTGACGAAGAAGCGAAAACATGTGCCACTGTTGGACAAATAAAAGGATCGACCACGAGAAAAGGCCCAAAATGAAAGTATATGCGCCAGGCAAGAGTCGATCGCTGAAGGGAGTTAATGCTTTAAAGCTCGATCAGTTTTTCTGTTGGATATTGCATCGGTTCAGAATAACATATCGTAGTATAAGATTTGACTATCTATGCACATCGCCGACTGCTACTTAAGCTTTACATCGTTGTCTGTCGTTACACAGAAGTGGTGAAACAGAATTCTCTCGGGTGGCACTTACAGATGCATATAATAAAATTTTTATGAAGTGTATAGAAAAAATATTTAACAGTTACCGATACAGCACGTTATGTCTTAGTGTGCAAGTTTCGTCGCTATAGCGCATTGGATATTAACACCTCGCATGTTCTCCTTACAGTCAGTGACTTCCAGTGCTTAAAAGTTATTCCAAAACAACATTTGATTAGATGGCGATCTTGACGTTTAGAATTTGAACTGCATTTGAATTACTGGTTTTCATTTAACAATTATCAGTCGTTTTTAAGCGCTCTGTTGAAGCTTTGCGGTTCGAAGAAAACATTGAATTTCCGGCTGTTTAAGTGACAATTATTGACTTACTAACAATGCATATAATCCTGAACTTTTACCTTTTTCTGTAGAAAATACCTTTTTTACTATGCAAACATATATACTACCTGTATATGCCCACTAATTGTTGATTTGAATCCACAAATGGATTACCCAGAGTCTGTTTGTTAGCGGAATTCTTCCTTCATGCATCCGTTTGACATGTCAGCTCTATCGGTTTTGCACTAGTTGGTCTTTCCTTCTGTCATGCTCCTGATAGCATAAATATCTTTTTCACAGCATTCTCATTTCTGAGGATTCAGCTGCAAGAAGACCAACTGCTATGGGCAAGGTTGCAAGTGTCGTCAATCAGGGGTAGTCGACAGATGAACACTGTATAACTATAATGAATCTAAAATGCGGTCAGCCCCAAAGATACAGTGTCCAGGTTCCAGTGAACCGTGATGAGCCTAATCAATAGCATTAGGATTAAACATTCTGCATATTTATTCACTGTTCACGGTCGGAGGGTTCCGTAACGAGCGGAGCCCAATGCTCTGTCATAATGGCTCTACAGCGACGGTTACATGCTGTTTTGCACTGTTCAGAAAATAAGCAGGGTTGCCACCTGAAACTCATAACTCGCCACGTTGTAAAACCTTTGGTCCGCTTGCGACCAATTTTGGACCAGCTACTGCAGGCGCGCGTAACACTGCCATCGTTGCCGTTTATTTCCTGATTGACGAAACCACCACCAAAGTAAAAGTATACTAGCAAATAGAATTTTCCCTTTCGGCTACCTGTAGGCCGAATCGTTAGTGCTGCAGAACCCAAAATATGTGATGATGTATCCATTGCTTTTGTAAAACGTTGCCAATAACAGCCGAAATCTTGCTCATAGCAAAAGCACTTCTGTCGTTGATCGTTGAGAAGCATTGTTCTTGCATTTTATTTGCCTGAGCTCTTCTCGGCTGCTTGCATAGCAGAATAGTTTCCTGGTCAATCATAATTTGTTGTGGCTGGGAAAAAAGATTACTTTAACGAACGGTTTTAGGCGTCATAAAGGGTTCTATTGAATCCACTTCTCAGTCTTTATGTCAGTGACCAGAGCGCATCAAACGCTGTGAACTTGATACAATTTTCCAGTGGCCTCACGAGGGTGGACACCGTTTTCCGTAAAAAAGAAGAGGCCAGATTTTCCCAACATAAGCTACACGCGGTTGAGAAATCGTGATAGAAGACTGGATTAAAGATATAGCAGAATAAGTGCGCTGAGAGAGTAAGAATTGTTAAGAACGCCAAGTCTACAGTTTTTTCCCTTATCGACCACAGCTGTCATGATCGATTAAGTGCATGTTCACAAGTTCAGACCATCAAGCACCTTCGAATATACATAACTAACGGTTTGAATTGGTCGAGTGCAGTAGTATCAACTTTTAGAAAGGCATAAAAGCGTTAATGATTTACTGTGACTGCAAAGAATAGACGGTCTTAGTCAAAACATCTCTTGTTCCTGTTTTACATTTGCATCCTACCAGCCAGTTCATCTGCAGCGAACAATCAGAGATAGAGAGATACTACACAGCATATCTCCGATGACTCTGCTGACCTCAGTTGTCAACAAAATGCATAGCAAACAGATTATCATCCACAATGCCAACTCATTAATCAAGAGTTCCTCAGTTTTCTCAGTCAGTTCTATAACAATCTGTTCTTTGCGTAGAAAACAATCTGCTCAGAAGCCTGTTCCATACACTTAGTCTGACACTGTAGAGCGCTTTGA